GTTGCGCTGATCTTCATCACAGTTACTCAGCCTGCTACCGTGTATTGAACTGCCATCCGAAGGTACTGGAACACGGAAATGTCTACCACAAGATGACGCTTGTGTCGACCCGTGACGGGCTGTTGAAGATCGTGTTGGGCTCTTCTATTTTAACCACCTTGTCGGTAGATTATCTACTCAGCAAGGGAGTATCACGGTCGCAACACCTCCGGCACCTCAGCGATGGTCTTCGTGATCTCTACGGTTCCCTCCTCGTTTCGTCCCTAAGCGTACTGATGGTGCTCGTGATGCGTTCTCCTTTCTCGCCTGCCTGCTTGTCTGGCGATTGCTCCTGTAGGTATTCGAACGGTGGTAAAACGTAGCTCCTGCCGTTGTATGATTTCTCCCACGGCGAGAAGCGTTTTGAACTATCACATGCTCTCATCAGCAGGGCAGCCCAATCCTCCCATCAACGACAATTTTGGTTCTCCTTAAAAATCCACAAATCCCATTCAACTTATGCATTTTCCAAAAAATTCCCAAGAATTATTTTTTCCTACTTTCTGTTTTTTTTCATCTCACTGCCTCCTATCATTTGGCATCGCCAACAAGCTGAAGTACTATTTATAAGCTAACAACTACACAAGTTTGCTCATTCGCCACTGTAAGATTTTATGTGATCTTATTTCGTTTTTTTAAATTACAGTGTCCTTCCGGGTACTAAGATAAAAATACAGTACGGCTCCGAATTCGTGCAACATACCGACATTTGCGAAAGATTGATACTCGCTCGCTACTCAGCATTGAGCAAGGTTGTCTTACTAATTAGTTTGTTGCCTATTCTCAAGTCATTTCAGTCACGATAGAATACTGGCGTTTTAAAGAGCTTTCTAACAAAAGTGTGTACTGTAAAAACTGGCTTCTTAAGTAGTATGCATTTTATCAATGATTTTGACCGTTTTATGAATTCAAATATATTTTATGAAAAACATGCACGAAAAATTCTTTCTTGCACTCTTTTGGTAGCAACTTACGCCTTCTTTGACTTTTAGACTTAAAGGAATGGTAACCTTCGATTTGTGAAAAATGTCTAATTATTAGCTTTTTTAAGATTGTCAGATGTTCATTCATAATCAATCGTTTTCGTCAATTTATTAAGGCTGCCTATAATGTATACAACATGATCCACATCTGTTGCAATATTTTCTGAGAAATATGTGACTTCTTCCTCAAACCGTAAGCCAAAACGTACTTTCCCTTAAACAGGATGTACACAGCGCGGAGTTTGTAAACCTTGAATTCAGGTTCAGCAATCAGTAACTTTCAAAATTATTCGGCAGTTTATAAGCTTTTTCGAAACCGAAAGATGCCCTTTCTTTAAGCATAGAATTTAAAGAATGTGTAATTACCTACCAACTGAGTACAAGAAAGTATTTTTCGTTGATGTTTTCCATAAAATGCATTTGAATTTATGTAGGCAGTCAAAATGAATGATAAAATACATATTACTTAAGTAGTCACTTTGTAAAGTAGATACTTTTTGTAAGCGGTAAGAAAGAAACTCGCCGAAAAGCCGGCATCATAAAGTGACTGAAATTACTTCAGAATAGACTACAGGATAGTCAGTATTGCAACCTTTCTCACTGCACATAAGCGAGTGAGTATCAGTCTTTCGCAAATGTCGGCATGTTGCATGAATTCGGAGCCAGGCTGTATACATATTTTACCAATTCGATATTCGCAAGGCCATACTTCGACGTTCTGCTTTTCGCGGCTTTTTTAGGCTACTACGGTTCACGCCTGTTTGCTGATTTGTGTCGTTACGAGGAGAATTCCCGCATCACCCAGGTGACGATAGTTTGTCTGCCAGCCTCCGCAGCCGCCAAGACGGACTCAATGGCGGCGGCGGCGGCAGTGGCGGAGCACGCAGATGA